ATAATTATTTTCAAGTATGCATTTTAGAAGAAAGAGGAAATCTGAGACCTCGGGATAAGGCAGATCTGTTAAATCTCGTTTGTTATTTCGGTAGGCCTCTTCAACAGCGCTTAATAATTCATCAAACTCCATGTTAGTATACATAGTTGTAACATCATAAGTGATCAGTTTGATTTGCGATGGTAAGCATAAGGCTTCGATTTTATTGATAAAATCCGTAGTATCCTTTATGTACGTCGATTGTTTTTTGAACAATCGGGATTAGAAAGTAATCACAGTAGGCACCAATCCTATGTGTTGGTGTATCGCATTGTGAAATAATTGGTCGTCCAGGTGGTAACCGTCTGAGGCTGCAAGTGCCGTTCATAAGGGCAGTCATGATTTTATCTTTGATCTTGTGTATTTTAGGGAGCAAGTATAAATGTCCGCATTTAAGGGACGAATCGCTTAGATAACGATATGCTTCTTTGTCTAAAGCTCCTCCAATAAACATATCAGAAACTTTTTCTTGTAGGATATTACGTAAATGTGACAAATCAGGTTTTTCAACTTCAAGGTAGTGCTTTGATTCAAGTTGACGTAAAGCTTCAGTGACATATTTTTCTCTGTACATGATGACCACAGTGTTACTTTTATCAGCTTTTTAAATTACAATATGGCGATTGTTTTTTAATGAGACCAATGCCGCCCTTTCCTGGCTAGTTAAGATGTGCTTTATAAGTGGAAAACGCCTACCAAATATATAGTCTATCTCCTATGGTTTGAACGTTTTTGCAATAGTTCGAAAAAGCAATTTTAGCGTGTAGATCGCAGTCAAGGTAACAAGGTCATTGACTTTGGTGTTTTGAAGAACTTTTATAGTGGGGTATGTGTACCAAATATGAAGTGTGTATCTCTCAATGTTCAAAAGTTATATTGAAGGTTAAAGTTGACAACAGACAGACAAACAGTCAAAGAAAAGAAATAAACAGAAAAACAAACAGGACTAAAATAATATACACCTCCGATCCATCGTCAATCCTATACTTTGTTTTAACTGAAAGAAGATAACAATATTCATTAATGTAAATCATGTTTCAAGAATGGTCATTCATTATGCCACATGATTCATCATATCTCCACAACTCCTCTTTACCACAAAATGAAATTTAATGAAAATTTTAAGGAAACTAGTAACATTAAGTTTCGATGACACTTAAAGACGTCATTGTATTTTACCTCTCGGAAATAACATCAACAAAACTACTCAGGCAAAAACTCTCAGTAATAAACAGAATTTCGAAATGTTCATAATTTTTTTTGCACAAATGCAGTCTGTTCAATTGTTAATCTATTACTGAATTACAGTGATTTTTTTTAATTTTAGGGCTTTGAAATGAAAGACTTTTACCTAGTTAAGTTAATGTCTATCTGAATAATATATAAAAATTCAGAGGGGCATTCTTCTTAAAATACTACATAATGAATTAGTTTAAGAACTATTTTATTCAAAATATACAAAAAAGTATACAGTGAATGTGGATTAACATAATAAATTGCAATAATAAACTTCACTATTTTGATACATAACATGATGAGAGTGCTTTTGGAAAGTTATTCCAATGTATAACAATATAGACATTCAGATGCTGCTTTTACATAGTGTATGGTTCTTTTGACTTTAATTTTTCACAAAACAGAATACGGAAATTTTAAAACCTAGGATGGCATCAGTTCTATAAAATGAATATAGGGCCATGAAATGAATTTTGCAATCGGAAAATAGCATAAAGATTTATTCAAATATAAGATATTAGACATCACTTTTGTTGTGTTCAGAAGAACACAACATAATTGTAAAATAAAGAAGCCTTTAAATGAACTGCAAAATACAAGATAGTGTAGAAGAAAAATATCCCGTCTGTTTTTCGGGGAATTTTTATTTAATTCAAACACACTAAGGCCCAACTATTCTTTGTTTCTTCTGTGTATTGTTCCTTCCTCGTTGCAGCACTGTACAAAAACTGATTTACTATATATATCCCTCATTGTATTTACTGCTTCTTTTTTATCTTTTAACACTAAGGAAAGATGTATCCTATTTTTCTTATAAATACGTTTATGCATTGTTTTTAAAATACATTTTTCCTAGAAAAATGATACCTTATATGGGATCCATAACACATTTTTTAAAACTAAAATCAGTAAAATTGCTCAAAGATTTACATTTAAAGTGGTAACTTCAATAATCTTTACCAAGTATGGTAGGAGATTTTCATATGATTTTTTATAAGGTTAAAAAGTTGTGAAAAAATGAGTATGGAAATATATAGAAAGCAAAATAAATCCTATCCACCAGTATCTATCCACGAAGGAAAACCTTCGATTTTTTTAGGGATTCATTATATTTAAGAAATAAGGTATCTTTTTTTTAGTTTTATTGAGATGTAAAACGGGTTGGTCAGGTGATCAAATCCCATAAAGCCCGAAGGGCTTTATGGAAGATTTGATCATGTGCCAACCCGTTTTACATCTCAATAAAATTCAAAAAATGATACCTTATTACTTATATGTACATTTATGACTTATTCATACTTTAAATTTGCCTGATTGTTACTTTTAACGTGAGAAATGAGTTATTTTTCAAACCCAACGGCATGCATGTAATCCACTAAACGCGCAACGACCCTTTATGACGTCACACAGAGATTACGTCGAACGTTTATCCAAACGCACATCTATGACCTTTTGACCTCGTACCTGTATTTACACAGTTATAAAAACGCTTGCTTTCAGTAGTGTTATATAAAGGAAAACATCTGCAAATGTAAATATATGTCTTTCAAATCAGAGTTAGTCAAAAAATATATATCAATTCGTACTTCACATTTTTGTTTGTGTTGAGTATCCTTAACTTCCAGCCGAATCATGAATATTGAAATAACCTACTTCTTGGATGCAGTGCTACAATTAACTGTATAGAAACAAAGGTTCTCTTTTTTATTAAAAAAAACAGCAAGGATTGACATGTTTTCTTTATGTTTTTTTAGTTTATTTATTGTCTTTTTGAACTGGGTTCTGCCGTTCACAACCTAGTGGTAGAGCGTTCGCTTCGTGATCGGGAGGCCCGGGTTCAATTCTCGTTCCCGGCCCCGCGTCAAACCTAAGACGTAAAAATAGGTAGTGATTGTTCCTTCGCCAATCGCTCGGCATCATAACTGAAAGTCATGGTTTTTTCGGATATGACCTTAAAAAAGTAGGTCCCGTGTCACGGTAGGTGTTCGCACGATAAAGATCCCTTACTGCTCAATGGCCCTGAGTACCGAGTGAAGGTCTAAATTTGAAGCCCTTCACCGGCAAACGGTGACGTCTCCATATGAGTGAAAAATTCTCGAGAGGGACGTTAAACAATATACAATCAATCAATCAAACTGCGTTCTTTTAAGGTAAAAATGATGCTTAAACCTCCGGGGACTGGGGGGGGGGGGGGGGGGGTTACCTCCCAATTTGAAACTGTAGGCTAATTCTAAAACTAAAGAATTATTAAGAATGACTATTATATATATACACTTTCATTCCCGTGTTTTTGATTCGTCAAGGATTATATATAGCAGAAACGTAAGCTAGCAAGCCTTTTACATGTATTAAGCTTATGGTCAACAATTAGCTTTTTGGCTCATATAAGATGTAGTGAACATATGCATAAAGTGATTTGCAGTATCGTCAATTGTTTTCAAAACAGTTCACTCTTAACAGTGCGGTTTTGTAAGTTATGAAAATTAAGGTTTCATTCCATATTAATAGAAAACAACGTGATATTTCTTTAATGCATAGATATTACAATCTTTAAATCATGATTTTCCTTTTGGAGTTCACCTTTTCCAGATTGTTAAGGTGAAACTTGGTTTGAAATTGTTTGTAAAATGAATGCAAGCTTGATATTATATTAATTTCGATTATTTGTAGTAAATGCTCTATGCTACAGACTAAAGCTATCTTTTGATGTCATAATGTCATGGCTGCTCATTCAGATTTGGCTTGGAAATTTAATCCTTCTACCAGCATCACTAACTTTTATCACTCTCTGGTAGATTGAATGTCTGAAGTGCTGAACATGAGAAAATGCAGAATGTAGGTAAGGAAACCGTAAATATTCAGAGTAAAAATTGTGTGTTCACTTAGTTACTCAGGTCTTGTGTGTAAAGTTATAATGCAACCTAAACTATTTTGGAAATATTGGCGATTTTTATTTGAAAACAAAAAAGTGATCGGTGTAACACACATGTATAACAAAATTTATCGCAACACATTGGGACTGCTTAGGTATTTCAAGAAATTTATCATCTCTTTGTCCATCTTCCCCTCTCTGATAGTCTCATTGGGATGGATCTCGTACATGTAATTGTGTGCCTCGTATCATAACATGAACCTGATAAACTACATGTAATAATTACACACTTACACATAAAAATCAATAAATGATTCATTATTACATATAGGTTTGGGTCCATAATCAGTTTTCATTGATAACAGAGAACAGCTTCCCTGCATCATCGATATCAGCATTAACGAGGCCGAGTCTAATTCGAGTGCGCATCACTTTGCGCAGCTTTTTTAATTTCATGCAGTCATTAATTATTTAATTAACATTATTTGTAACTCCTACTGATCTGAAAATGTGATTTTACGACAATCATTGGAAAAATAACGTTGAAATGGCTCTAACAACGTCACTATAGATACGTATTTTTACCGTAATATGGCAATTTTAGAGGTATTTGGCTTCGACCTAGACCAATCGAGATGGTGAACTTTTTTGAATTTTCACAATTTGGTGACTTTTTACATTTACTTTCATTTACGTGAATGAAAAAGAAATCCCTAGGGCAGAAGTACAAAAAATATTGAAAAAATGTAATAATTTGGCGATTTTCCAACAAATTCCCATAGGGTCCAATAGCAAAGGTTGACAACATTTGAGACGACCCACTAAGAAAACGGGGTGGTGAACATTCGATATTTTAATCCTAAAACAATAAATATAACAGTAAAAATTAATTATCAAAAAATTATCAAAATCGCTAGGGCAGAAATAATTAGACTCGGCCTCGTTAAGTTCCATTGAAGATAATACTCTCCTGTTGCTTTCATGTTCTGTTACTTGGCGGACACTTATAAGCTTTTGATTATTCCGGATCGAAGTTTACCATCAAACACAATCCTGGTTGTAAGGCACAATGTTTTTCTTTTTTCAAAATATTTGATGTAAGCCTATTATCTCAGGGAATACAATTGATTTTCAATATTTCCCTTTGCATTTTTACGCTTTACACTTTTTAATGTTAGCATGGTTTTCTGACCCCCAAAGATACATGTAGTATTGAATATTTTCCATTATTTTTAAATGGTGTTTTTCAATTTCATTTGAACACTTTTCAAATTTTTGCATGCTAGGGGTACATATGTTTTTCAATTGTTCAAAATGTTTTTTTTTTATTATTATTTATTAGCACTTTGTACTTGTTAGAAGTTTTTTAATTTTAGATTTATGTTGTAGATATAATCTTTTGAAAGTTTTACAAGACAAAAACATTTTATACAACATTCCAAAATTATGCATTAATCCAACATTTGCTAATATTTTACAACAAAGTCAAAAAGAAACAATATTACTATACATACATGTAAGTACATATGTATGAAAAAATATGTAGTTAACAAACAGTATTCAATATCAATCGTCTATAAATCTATACAAAACAGGATCAGATCAAACACAGTGCGCCAAAACATCAGAGGTTGGAGCAGGGGTTATGGGGGGATGAGCATCCCCTGCTGTCCGGCACACCAACCGTGTGCTCTTTGTCATGATCGAAAAATAACAGAGAAACCCGTCACCAATTCAGTGTACATGTATAAATAATACACTAACAATTAAAATAAATGCTTACAGACAGCTTTTAACATGTCCTCCATCTTTTTTTTGTGTGTGTAAAATAGATATACAGGTTTGTTATTAAAAAAATTTAAAAGCAAATTACTATTATTATGTTGAAAAACGCATTTCCTTCAAGAATCTTGATAACATCTGCTTATGAAATGATACATGAAGCCAAGAAAATTATATAAGGATTACAAGAGAAATTAAGGATTCCTAAAAGTATATCAATATTAAATGCGTAATAAACAAAGGTAAATGATAAAGGACTCTCCGTAAAAATCCCATATAATGAATAACACGTATATACCGTTAATGGAATAAGAGAGAAAACATAAACTGATAGTATAATGCAAATAATAACATTCATTCTTCTAAGGATGTTGTTTGTAACGGAAGACATTTTTAGAGCCTTCACCTTTTTGATATGTATAATAATGATTGCACAGAAAGCAAGTAAGCTCCTTAAAATACTAACAAAATTTAATGTGGTAATAACCATTTTAGAACGATCAATTGGATCTTTATAAATTGTTGTTATCATTATTAATATGAAAGCTGTCAAAAGTGATGAATATATCCAAATCATTACAGAACATGTCATGACAATCGACACAGTTAGTCTCATCTTGCTCTGTAACGGATGGACTATTAACAAATATCTGATCAAAGTAAGGAACAGAATATGTCCAGTTGAACATGAATAAAAAGTTTCGGTTAGAAAAAAATAAGTTAAAAACTCGAAAATATTCTCCTTATAATCATGCTGAAACTGAACATAATTTACCAAATTGGAAAATTTTCGTACAAAAATAATCATGATATTTAGAGTATCTGGCAATGCAAGGCATCCGATGGGAATAAATGTTGGAGTATGAAACTGTTTGTCGCATAAAATTTTTAAGATAGTCACAATATTCCCTATGAACCCCAGTAATCCGATAATAATTGTGAGGATCGTGATTGATTTCTCATATCCTTCCGAGGTCTCTGCAATAGTTTTTAAATTAAACAGAAAGAATGAAAAAGAGGAATGGTTTTGAAAATTGTTAGTGTGAAAGAGATCGTCGGAGACGTTCTTTGATTTGTTCCAGCTTTTCGTTGTAGTTTCATTCGTTAGAGACAGCATTGAGAATAAAAACGTTCTATTGGAATACTGTGCCGTTTCCTGATTCATTTCTGATGACTTTCTTATCAAGGGTTTGGATGTGTCTGCACGGGATTGGAAATCTTCTTTCATATAAATCACCAATTCATAACAAACTGTTAAAAATAAATTTAAATGAGAGAAATGGAACATTACTATTTATCAAAAATAATAAGGATAAGAAACCAAATTTTACAAAAAAAGTATTAAGAAATATGATTTAAAATTTACCTTTTGTTGAGTGTTATAACGTAGAGCATCATTTATAAGCTTGGTTGCTGATATGGTTGTTATTTTTTGCTAGCGAAAACAGAAGATAAGATTTATATACATTATCTCCACTTTACCGAGAAATAAGTTTTTGAAAGGGAAACTCGTAATGTTTCCTGCTTTTGGATGTCTTATTTGATGCACACTTTAGATCATGTATTTTTTTTAATTCAGTGGCGTTTTTCCTTTACGAATAAATCTATCATTATAGTACTTTCTAAGAATCTGAACAATACCGCCGTCAAAATGCATGTTAATTTATGCAACATACATTTCTTCGATAACAAGATGTGTTTGAGAAACACCCGGCGGCAATACCTCAGCTATGTTAAGGACCGATATGGAAAATGTTACCTTTGCACCGTTTTAATATGTATTACTTCTTTTAAAAGTTATAACAAATCAACTGAAAACTTGTAGAAAATGTAATATCGATATTAATAATGGACAGGATTTGGCCGTAGTTATTACCAGTTATATTGCACGTATCAGCTGTTAGTCACGTGAATTGTATAAAATAGAATTGTCAAGCTGAATGTTGGAAATAGGGATAGTGCAAGGGCATACGACTGTTTTTCAAGAAAAAAAAAATTGATACACATTAAAAAATGTGTATTTCCTCTACCTAAACGTGCTAGGAGCTAGTCAGTGCTGTTAACGAAGTACTGAAAATTTTGCCGAAAATGCTTATAATAGCTAAAAATTTCCACTTTGCTTAAATTCTTTTATAAATAAAAAAAACGTTGGGCAGACCAGGATCAGCTCCAGCACTTTTCAAAATATACACGATGTAATTAATAAATATTCCATTATTTCAGCTCAAACAAAATAGTCTTTGCCCTTGCACTTTTGATGTAAATCACAAATACGCTTATCATTTTAACGATATTCTCTACATTCCTTGTCCCTGTGTAGTTCCATTGCTGCTAGATAAATTTATATTCTATATACATTTTATTTAATAAAGTATTTTCTTTTAGTTTTAATGATAAGGTTTAAAAATTAGCCATGGTATTATACTTATTTAAGCATTCTTGAAATTATAAAACCAGTGAATCTAGTCCTCTAGATCACATGTGCTGCGTCATGTCAAGGCTGATGACGTCATATTCGACGACAGACTTTCTTCTATTTCTTGACTGTCTTGCTATCAAGTATTGCAATTTTATAAATAATCGATAAAATAAATAAATTCAAGTTGTTATTTACGCATGATCATGTCGTTAATTAATTTATGTGACTTGTTAAATTTCAATGACGTCACAATTTAACTTCCAATACAGTGTGCAAGGAATGTGAACTCTGGCCCTCCTTAACATAGCTGAGAAAGTTCCAAAATAATACTTTCAGGATATAGATCACAGTCAAGGTCAAAAGGTCACTGTAATGTTACAACACCCGATCAATCCGGAAAGTTTATGTCAATCTTTCTTTACTTTAATTTTCTTTGTATAACGGTATATCCAGTAGTCTACACGAGGTCTACACGAGGTCCATGCACTCAAATTTATCAACAAAACTTCTTGTCATATAAGCGGCAACCATGTAATTTTTATAATTGATATTGTCTGAATATTATACATGTATGATTTTGTTTGCAGCTTAGTATGTAATCAATTTATTGTGCATATCATAAGTATTTTTGTTTATGCTGTACCTGGAACTTGCAGTTGATGCTATCTTTAGATATAAAGCCCACAAAGCTGTTAGAAAGTCAGTTTAACGTTTAAAAAAAATTATGTGTAATATTTGAGCAAGACAAACTGATAATATATAAATGATGCCTGTTTTGGAGGGACACAGTTGAAATCGACACCCAAGGAAAACCATTGTCAACCGACGCTTCAGCAGAGGTTGACACTGGTTTACCAAGGGGTGTCAATTTCAACTCGGGCACCATTTATTTTATTATACTGAATATCTTATTGATTTAGGATGTCAGCAAAAAAAAAATTAATTGTCGTTCGTCTTTACTTTCATTTACGTTATTTCTTCTAGTTGTGACTAGTTTATGGTTTAATTTTCTATTTACCCTTTATTATACTTATAATACGTTTCAATGCAAAGTGTAGCAATTCAAATAAAGTAATTCACTTGCTTTAAGATGGTGAATACGTTTTCTTATGAAAGGATATGTAAAAAAAGAGTAGACAAGGATTGCAAAATTATATAATGCATCTAAAGAAGAATAAACTTAAATAATATGTATGTCAAAAAGGTCTCTGAAATAGAAAAATTAAATCAATAGACTAACTAATGAAGCAGCGTTATTTATCATAACTGTGATTTGAACGCAAATAAAAACTGACAATAGTATGATGGAAATAATGATATCCATTCTTCTATGGATGCTGTTTGTAACAGATGATTTTTTTAAGAGAAAGCAACCCAAACAGAGTGTAAATAATAAGGGGGTTTACCGTACATTATTTTATTTTGATAAGCTTAATCTCTAATTATCGTTTTTATAATTATTTATTTGAAAGTTGAAAACATTGCAGGATAAATCCAGATCATTACAGAGTATGCCAGGACAATCGAGGCGGTAAGCCGTATCTTGCTCTGTAAGGGATGGAATTTAACAAATATCTGATCATAGGAAGGAATACAATTTGTGAACGTGAACAACTGAAAATTATTTCTCGTAGAAGATAAATAGTAATCAACCCAAGAGCTCTATCGAAAACAACATGTTGAATATTTAGATAAGTCGCTAATGTCGAAAAATTATTTAAAACCCCGGAGATGATATTAAGGACAGATGATACATTTTTTTTTCTTTAAAAAAGATTTAATATCATGTTACAAGTTTACAAAAGTGGATGGTTCTCAGAATTTTTTTCTCCGAAGAACTGGAAAATAAAATAGACTTAGAAAATATTAGTAATATTTCAATAAAAAAAAAAAAACAAATATAGACAAATCACATTCGCTAAAGGTTTACAGGTGAAAAATTCAGAATATGTTATCTTGGCGCTAAAAGTGTAATATAAACTTTTGAAAAATATATGCCAGGTGAATTTTGAGAGGAAGATCAAAATGACAAAAAAATAGCAATATCACATAGGCTGATTTTTACCATTTAGCTTTTCCTAATAAAATTCACCTGGCTTGGTATATTTTTTTAAAGTTTATATTACACTTTTAGCACCATGTTATCATATTCTGAAATTTATTTTCACCTGTAAAGCTTTACTGAATATGATTTGTCTATATTTGTTTTTTCATTGAAATATTACGTATATTTTCCAAGTCATTTTCATATACCAGTTTTTTGGAGAGAGAAATTTAAGAACCATCCACATTTCTAAATTTGTGACATGATATTAAATCTTTTTCAAAGAAAATTTTTTTTGTATTATCTGTCCTTAAGACTATCGAACAATGCAAGGCACTCGATAGCAACAAATGTTGGGATGTGAAACTTTTTGTAAGATAAGACCGTGCAGATGGTGACAAAATTTACTTCAAGACCAAGGGATCAAATAATCAATACCAACATCATGATTGATTTTTCAAATCTTTCCGATGTCACACTAAAAGCCTTGGAATTGAATAAATGGAATTACAGTTTATTATTGTTTAAAAAATCATAATAGTTTAAATTATCAACAGAGATATATTTTGTTTCATTCCGGCCTCTCTGTAGAGTTTCGTCCACTAGAGAAACCAAGAAGGATATGACCACAGTATTCAATCTCAAAGTTCGTAAAACAATACAAAATAAGAGCAGAGCAAACACGGACCTCTGAATCATCAGAGGTCGGATCAGGTGACATGGAGAAGTGAGCATCCGCTGCTGACTGGTCAAACCCGCCGTGTGCTCCTTGTCATGATCTGGAAATCCGGAAAAATCTGTCGTCAATTCAGTGTTTAAATAATGGACTAACAATTGAAATGAAAAACGTCCGTCAGCATCTGATTCAATGATAAATTCTATTTGATGGCAAGGTCTTTGTATCGGCCATAGGACTTACGAAAAATTACGAGACTGCTGGTATTCTTGTTTCATCAACTTGCTTGTCAAAAATTTACCTCGTTTTAGAAATTGTTCACTTTCCGCATCGAATCAACTGAGAGATATATACTCCGTCTGCAGGAGATGAAGGTATATGTTGCATAAGTAAGGCAAGTTGATGATAGAAAAGGTAAAGCCATTTCGTTTATCATATAGCTTGGTTGTTAGATTACCATTAACGTCTTTTTCAAGTAATATATTCAAGTATGAAACAGATGTGTCAGACTCTATGTTATCTTTTATCTCAAGCTAACCAGGATATATCGAATCGACGTAGGAATGAAAATTACCATTGCTAATTGACATTACGTCATCGATATATCTAAATGTCGAGTTGAAGGCCACAACAAGTGTTTTCTTCTTTTCACGCGTAAGTTTTTCCATAAATTCTACTTCATATGAATAGAAAAATAGGAAACCAAAATGTGCTATTGTAATTAATTGTGTTTCTTCATCAATATGAGATAATGTGAGACAAATTCCATTCTGAAGGTTCAAGTCGAGGCGCAAGTCAAACGTTGGCTTGTAGATATTAGGTGTTAGCTAATTTTAGTATGAACAAACTCAGATGATCAGACTTAGATACATTATGTCGTTTTACTGAGAGATCAGTTCATGGAAAAGGAATTGCCCAATCTTTCCTGTTTTTGGTTATATAATTTAATTAATATTTGCTTGCCATTAGTTTTTTTGGGGGGGTGGGGGAGGCGTTATCCTGTTTTTTTTTTAGAAGATAAACTATTAATATTGATTACTGAGTAAATAAACGTTACCACCGCCATTTCCTGTTCATTCAATCTAATTTACTTCACTAGGGTAGACCGGGTAACTTTCAACCACATCTGGCGATTGTCAATTCCCAAAGCATGACTGTTTTCAAAATGCTTTTAAGTTTTAAGGATACACCAAAGGTTTCCAAACGGCAAAATTTAATTTGCTTGTAATTCTTTCATTAACAAAGATAACATATTAAAAGTATATATCATTTGAAAGCTTGTTAAA